GGGCCCGGTCGTGGTGGTGCGACAGCGGCAGGCGGCCAACGCGCGGGAGCGGGACCGCACGCAGAGCGTGAACACGGCCTTCACGGCGCTGCGCACGCTCATCCCCACCGAGCCGGTGGACCGCAAGCTGTCCAAGATCGAGACGCTGCGCCTGGCGTCCAGCTACATCGCGCACCTGGCCAACGTGCTGCTGCTGGGCGACGCGGCCGACGACGGGCAGCCGTGCTTCCGGGCGGCCGGCGGGGCCAAGAGCGCCGTCCCCGCCGCCTCCGACGGCGGCCGTCAGCCGCGCTCCATCTGCACCTTCTGCCTCAGCAACCAGCGCAAGGGGGTGAGTGCGCGGAGCTCCGGTCCACGGCGGCGGGGGCCGGGGTTGGCGGGGGCCGAGCCTCTTAGGGAGCACACGAGGGGCAGAGACCCCAGTGAAGAGAGGGGCAGCGACGTGGAGTTCGTCGGGAATGCGACGCTACAAGACCAGGGTTTGGTGTGGGACAGAACCACTCGCCTAGTGTCCCCCAAACAGAAGGGTTGCAGGGAAGCCCAGAGCTCGGGCATGACTTAGAGGATAGAGATTGCTTGTCGAGGGACACCCGCTCCAACTTAAGGTGTGCTGGGAGGAGGGCATGAGGGAAGGATAACAAAGGCCATCGTTTACTGAGCTCTTCCTGTGTGCGTGGTGCATTCCTCCTTTTCTTTTTTTTTTACCTTCACCAGAACCCTGCCAGGCAGGTAATTCTTCCCGTTTTATCACTGATGAGGATTTGAGACCCAGGGAGGTTAATACTATACCCACATTTACTCAGCTGGGAAGCCAGAAACCAGGTTCTGGGTTTGCTGGGTGTTTGTGGCCCTGAGCTACTCCTACCGTGAAATAATTGTCCCCGGTCCAAAGACCTGAGCCAAGATCAGGAGACTGGGAAGAAAAGGGGATGCATTCCCCCCACCAAGAGCCTGAGGGACCCAGCTGATGAGCAGTAAGAATGAAGGAGGGGGTCCTTGAGGGCATCCAGCCCCAAAAGGAGCCCAGTGCTGAGGGACGACACTGTTGAGTCAGCTGGGCAGAGCTGGAGTTAAGCTCCTGTGGTCTGTCCCAGGTAGGGGTGACAGCCAGGCTGGTAGGAGATGATGGATGGGGCTGGGTAGCAACAGAGGCTGCCGGGGGCTCTCCTCCTGCCCAGGCCCCCAGGAGCCTGTGTCATCCCCAGCCTTTCCCACTCTGGCCTGGGCTTTTCCTACAGACAAGGAAGCTTGTCTGTGTGACAGTTGCATTCCAGCAACTACCATTTACATGTGGGGAAACTGAGGCTGAGAGAGTCCCTGACTGCCCACAACCATTTGGAAAGTGAAAGGGCATGGGGGACTGGAGTCAGGCCTCTGAGTCCCCCAGTCTTTGGTTCTCACGGCTGCCCTAGGTCCCCTGCTTCACTGTTCTGGGGAAGTCTCTGTGTTGGCCTCAGACCACTCCCTTCTGGCTCAGTAGACTCCTAGCCTGGCCTCTCACCCCCATAGCTGCCTCAGTTTCCCTGAGTCAGTCTTAGGCTCAGACTTGTACTCTCTGGAGGGTCCCTGCTGCTCCCAGCTTGGGCCCTGGTCAGTGCTCCAGGCTGACTGGGCAGCCGGGTGAGCCTTCAGGCATCCAGCCTGGGATGTGAAGGGCTGACTGGGCTCTCGGTGATATTTCCTGACCGCCTTTCTTGCATTCATTCAGTTCAGCAAACCTTAACTACCCAGTAGCCACTTTTTGTTGGCTCTGAGACCATTCCCAGAGAAGCAGGTTGTGGGTCCCCACCCACCACAGTCAGGAACTCCCATTGTGGCCCCAGGGCAAGGAGATGAAGACAGGGATGCTGTGGTCTGTTGGGGGGGGCGGGCGCAAAGGGACCATCAGAAGCCAGAGGAAGCCCCTGACCGGGGGAGTAAACTCCTGACTCATGCTTGGGAATGGAGGTAGACAGATGAGGGGGTAGGAGTAGGTGTTCTAGGAGCTGGGCACAGCAAGAGCTGGGGTCAGAAAACATGACCTAGAGGCCGGCCCCGTGGTGTAATGCTTAAGTTCACACGCTCCGCTTCGGCGGCCGTGGGGTTCACAGGTTCGGATCCCGGGCATGGACCTGCGCACTGCTCATCAAGCCATGCTATGGCGGCATCCCACATACGAAATAGAGGAAGATGGGCACAGCTGTTAACTCAGGGCCAGTATTCCTAACAAAAAAAAAAGAAAGAAAGAAAGAAAAGAAAACATGACCTAGAGAAGGAAGAGGGAAGACATTGAAGGTGGCAGAGCACAGAGGAGAGGCAGAGACTGGCCGGTGACAGCCATCACAGTGTCTCAGCAGTGTTCATGAGCGCAGATCTCCTGCGCTGAGCACTTTTCACACATTATTACTAAAACCCCCCAGCAACCGGGGAGGGAGGTGCTCTGGTTTCCCAACCTGCTTAGAGATGCTGCCACTGTTTCAGACACACAGCCCATGATGGAGCGAGGATTCAAACTCAGGCCTGCCTGCTTGGGAAGTGGGAAGGGTTAGTGTAGGAGGGCCCTCCCCACTGCAGGCCCTGGGGAGAAGGTGTGTCTGTCACATGTGCACACACGGCAGGTAGGCTGGGGTGCTTCTCTGCTGGTCTCAGGCCTATCCTGCAGATCACGGGGCCTCATCTGGATCTGGCTGCTTCCCTGAGACCTGTCTGCGGGACCAGGAATCCAGCCAAATTTGGCTACAGAAGCCATGTTCTCAACCCCACAGACTCCTCTGGGAATAGGGGAGCTCTGGCCCCTGAAGACTCGACAGAAGAAAACTGGCTGTCTTGGGGAGCCCGTGGGGGGCTTCCTTCTGGGCTTTGCAGGCTAGAGAGCTCCAAGGCCCCGTCATTCTGAGCCACCATCTCCCTCCCATCTGGCTGGTCTGGGGTTGAGGTCACCATGGAAACAGCTCCCTGTAGCATCTTTCTGTTTAAGGTGGGGTTCCGTGTGGCCCTCAGTGGTAGAAATAGCAAGTGGGCGATGGAAAGGGGATTCTTGTCTCTGCCCTGTTTTCCCCCACCTGGGGAGTGGGGTTGGGTAGGATCGTCTTGTAAGGCCTCCTCAGTTGGTGTACTCAGCTGGGGAGCAAAAATGATACAGGCTGGTGGGGTGAGGAGGCACCATTACCAGGTGATGCTAATAATAATACTTGTGAACATTTATTGAACAGTTACGATGTTCTGACACTGTGCTAAGGGCTTTGTGTTAGTGTGTGTAATCCTCACAGTAACTCCAGTTTACACATGGGGAAACTGAGGCTCAGTGAGGGAAAGGCACGTGCCTGAGGTCCAACAGGTAGTCCGTGGCAGAGCAGAGACTGAAGCCCAGGTCTCTCTCACTCTAGCCCAGCTCCAAACCAGGGTGCTTCTCTGAGCCCTTGGTGCTGAGTTCCTAAGGGACAAAGAAGCTGGGGCCTTGTCAGGGCCTCTTCTAAGTGCTTTTGGCAGTTTACAAGCCTCTTTCACAGCTGCATTGCATTCAACTGCGCCCTGGGGTGGCAAGTAGAATCATTTTGTCCCCATTTCATAGATGAAGAAACTGAGGTTCTAGGAGGTGAACAGTCTCAGCATTCTCATGGGACCGAGGTCTCCTGATGACCACCAGACTTCAGGTGGAGGTGGCTGTCACTGTCCCTGAGGATGCAGAGTGAAAGGGTGGGAGGCTGGTTTTCTATCCCCTAACCTCCACATCCCGCTCCCCCCACCTCCTTCCCCCCTTCTCAGCCATTCTTGCCAGAGTTTGTCTGAGAAGCCCAAGCCCCAGGCTCTGCTGGGACTGTGGCCTCAGCCCTCAAAATAGCCCTGCCTGTGAATGAACATGCTGTCCCTGGGCCCGGAGAGCCTCGAGGGAGGCTGGGCTCGCATCTGGATGGATCTGCCCCAACCTGGGCCCAGGGATGGAGGGGGCAGGGGGCAGAGCTCCCAGATGGTCAGCTCTTTCTCTAGATGGCTGAGAAAGATGCCTGTCCCATCATCTCCTAGCCAGGCTCGGGGGGTGAACGCTGACAGTGGGAGTTCAGACACCGTCGTGTCCTGGACACAGGACAGACTGTTGGACAACATGGATTTCTAGCCCAGCTCTTTTACCAACTGGCTGGGTGCCTGGGGGCCAGTTGTTTAACAGCTGGAGGCCTTTGAAAGAGGAGGGGCTTTAATGTCTGTGACCTCGCTGGTTTACAGTGAGGATGAAACCCATGGGTCAGCCCTCAGAATATTGGGTAGAGACTGCCCCTGTGGGGTGAGGGGCAGGTGGCTTCAGGGGCTGCCACCGTTAACCTGTCTTCCACTGGGCACCACTGATTCAAGCAGCATTGGTTGGCACCTGCTGCATGCCAGGCTCTGGGCTGGAACTGGGGCCACAGAGTGAAGAACTTCTTCCTGCCTCCCCCTGACCTCCTAGCCTGATGGGGGCACAAAAGAGGAACCCCGACTTCCCCTTCTGAGTTTTATCCTGGTGGAACGTTCCTGGAAGTGCTAGGCGGTTACAGAAATCGAAAAACCTTTTCAGGGAGCTGGGAATAAAGAGTATATTCCTGGCAGAGGGAACACCCTGAATGAAAGCAGGGAGGCCAGAAGTCCAGAGTCTGCTTTTGAAGGCTGAGGAGTAAGTGGGCACCGTCGGACGATGGGGAGGACCACTGTGGGCTTCGTTTGTTTTGCCTTTTAGTGTAAAATATTGTGACTTAAAATGTACTGGTTTTGTTTAAAGCAACAAATCACATGGGGAAGAAATGAAAAAAGTAAAAAAGTACGTAGGTAAAAAAGCCTCGCTCCCATCCTGTCTCCCCATCTTCAAATTCCTCTCCTGTGAGGAACCCCGTTAGCAATTTCCCATGTGCCCTTCTCTCCATCTCAGCACACAGGATGTTCACTCAGTTCTTGCTTCTGTTCTCGAACAATGTTATCTTGATGTCATTCCCTGTCAGTCCATAAAGAATTTCTTCTGCCTTCTGCTGCAGAAAACTTTATTGTGGGGCTAACTTGATTTATTTATCAAGTCCCCTATTGCTGGACACAGAGGTTAGTTCCTATGTTCACGGTGACCTGATCGAACCTCCTAATACCTTTTTCTCCCCTCTTACAGGGTGGCCGTCGTGATCTGGCGGGCAGCTGCTTGAAGGTGAGGGGGGTGGCCTCCCTTCGAGGGTCTCGGAGATGAGCCTGGACCCCTGTGGCGTTTGCTCCAAGCAGGACCCTGGAGAAGAAGGCCAGAGGCCAGCCGCTGGTAGATAGGGAAGAAGATCCCACGAGCCGAGCCCAACCCTTCTTTGTGTAGGGACCAGAGGACAATGGCCTGGGCCTATGACCCTCTGGTCAGGCCCCCTGGGACATCTCCACCCCACCCTGGAGAGCCGTGAGGACCCATCCGGCCGGCCCCAGCCCTGGCTGGTCAGAGACAAGGCAGAACTTTTGGAAAAACAAAGACTTGGTGACAGAGGACGTGTGCGTGTCTGTGCATGAGTGTGTGGGTGTGTGTGAGAGAGAGAGAATTGGTGGGTTTAAAATAAAAGGTATTTTTAAATAAAAGATGTTCCCAGCTGAACAAGGGAGGGGCCTGGGGACATCAGAGATCAGAGGTGGCCCCTCTCCTGGACCTTGGCAGAGGCCCAGACATGGCAAGTGCTGCCCTGTGCCCTGGAGAGTGTGGGGCTGGAAGGCAGGAAGATCCCCCTCTCCAGAAGTCAAGATACCCAAATTTTCCTCGCAGTCTTCTTGAACAACTGTTAGGTGTCTGGTGCTGCTGGTAAAGCAATCTTAATTTTATTTATTTTTGAATAAGGAATATATTCATTCACGAGTTTCAAAATTCAAAAGGTACAAGAGGGTATAGGATGAAAATCTCTCCCTCCTGTCCTTCAGCCACCAATTCTCCCTGCAGGCAGCCTCAGCCACCAGTTTTTTGTGATGTCCCCATTCCTTATGAGAACCAAGAAAATACCAGGAAAAAAAAAAAAATATATATATATATACATATATATGTATAAGTTTTCTTCCACTCCACACAAATGGTAGCACGTTGTACATGCTTTCTGCTCCTTGCATGTTTTTTTCCTACTCCAGCTTGGCTGTCATCCCGAGTCAGTACACGAGGTAAAGGGCGCCCACAGTCCTTTAGTGGCTGTGTACTGACTTTATTAATGCACCAGACGGGAACATGTCCCTTATCCAGGTCTTCACAGACAGGGCTGTGGAGACACAAAGTTCCCACATGTGCAAATGAGTGTGCTAATGGGGTATTTGTACCTTCTTAGCTGAGGTGATTCAGAGGAATGATGACACCCAGAGGCCTGTGGCTGCCATGTGGCAGGGTGACAACGTGAGCCCTGTCCACCTTTAAAGCCCCAAGTGAGCTCCATCCCCTGTCCTGGAGATGCCCCAGAGGGGTCACCAGCCCCCATGACCCCAGTTATGCTCCTAGCAGCGCTGGGAGGTGGGGGCTGGTGTGTCCCCATTTCACAGATTCAGCTGAGATGGGGTTGGGAACAGCTGTCAGTGGAGCCAGGAGGTCTTGGCTCTCCAGCCGGAGCTCTGTCCCTGTGAGCCCAGGATCAGAGAAGCTCAGGGGGCTGGAGGGCGGGGAGGCAGGGAGAGGGGCCAGGAGAGGTGGCAGAGCCAGGCACCTGCCCTTCCCTCAAGGTATGCTCACACACCTGTTTTTAAAATTTGTGTATTTAACAAACACTTTTATTTAGTGTTTACCTACTGAAGCCTGGCTCCAGAGTCCACACTCGTGTCCAGTCTGCTCTGTCACCGCCTGCATTTGACCCTCTGACTAAGCCTGAGGGGCTGCCCATTTTGCAGTCAACAGATTACCAAGCACGCTCTCTGTGCCAGACACCAGGGGGATAGGCCAGACCCACCCGGTCTGCCTCAGAGACGAAAACCGAGTATAAGGGAATTGCCAGTCTGGGATGGAGTGGGCCGTGAACCCACAGCGCTTAACCCGTTTGGAATGAGAAGTGGAGGAAGGAGGGCCCCAGGGCCAGGGTCCTCTCCGGGAGAGCTTTCCAAGCGCCCTCTACCTCCCTCCCGCTGTGTTCCAGGGACACCGGTCTTCCTTATCCCGTGTCCCAGGGCAGTCACGCTTCCCCCTTTGGGAACTAATTAAGAAAGCACATTGCACTCTCTTCGCCTACCCAGGTCCAGGTCCAGGCGGCCCCTGGCAAAGCCACAGCAAGAGGACCGTGACCTCGTCAATGGCAGGAAGCCTGGGAGTCGGGGCAGAGCAGACCCTTGGGTCCTCTGGGCTGGAGGCCCACTTCTGCCACCAGATTTGCTGGGTGACCCCTGAGAAGTTGCTTGACCCCTCTGGGCCTCCTTGGCCTGATCTCTAACCAGTAAGAACAGCTGAAACAGAATAATAATTACTTGTTTTGCCTTGTTAAATAGTTTTTAATAGACCGTTTATGCACTGGGTGAATAATTCAAGTTGTATCCGATTGTACGCAGTGAAAAGTACATACCTCCCTCAGGCTCCTCCCCAAAGACAACTGCAGTTAGCAGTTTCCTGTGTGTCCTTCCAGAAATGCTCTCAACTGATTACTGTTTCTGAAAAAGTATTTATAGGTTTCTCTGCTTCTGTTTTCATTGTAAAAACTTCAAATGCTACAAGACCTTAGAAATATCACCCATCCCCAAAACAACAACAAATTCATCTTGCAATTTATAAAACATACACCTCAACAGTCTTTACAGCATACTGAGTTAAAACTTTTGATTGAAGGATAACATGCACGCAGGAAAGTGCACGTGCCCTGAGGTGTACAGCTTGATAAGTTTTCACAAGCTGAGCTCACCCGTGGACCCACCATGCAGATCAAGAAATGCAATCTGCAGCATCCCAGGGGCCCCTCGCACACATCCTAGTCAGACTGCGTTCCTTCAATTATATTTCCTTTGAAATAGATAATACACTTAACAGAGTTCACAGTTCAAGAGACACAAAAGAGAATAAATTTACAATGTCTCCTTCCCTCCCAGCCACTCGGTTCCAGCTCTCAGAGGCCATTTCTGTTAACCAGAGTCTTGTGGATTCCTGCAGACAGTCTTTGCAGATACAAGCAAGTCACATAGATCTTGTTTTTCGGCACAAGTGGTAGCATTTTACACACTGTTCTGCACTTGGATGGTTTTTTTCCCTTAACAATACATCTTGGAGACTCTTCAGTGTTCAAAGAGCTGCTTCATACTTTTTCACAGCAGCGTAGTGCTCCGTGCTGCGTTCTCCGTTCTTTGCAGCTTGCTGTCTTCCTCGAGCCTCATTCCTGGGTAATGGACAGTTGATGCCTATGAGCCTTTGTGAGCTGCGAGCCCAGCCCAATACACCTGACTTGGGGAGGCACAGCTGAGGACCAGTACCTCTGGGGCCATCTGCCTAACAGCCCTGCCGACACACACGCACTTTCCGCCTTCAGGACGGGCCAGCCCAGCCAGGCTTCTTCAGGCTCCCTGAGTGAGGGCCAACTCCAAGCCAAAGGAATACGGGAGCTCAGGGAGAAGAAACCCAGGGCTGAGGGGAGTGGAATGACCAACTTCGGCCAGGCCACCTGGGAGCCTGAAGGGAAGGCTTAAATTTCAGGTCACACCCTCCACCCAAACCTCCTTAGACACAAGGAGCAGTGGCACGAGAATGATCCAGAGTCCATCACTTCCCAATATGGAGACAGCCAGTACAGAGGAAGTAACCTGCCTGAGGTCCCCCAGAGAGTCCCTGGCCCTGCTGGGCCACTGGGAACCCAGGTCTCCCTCCTTGCCACTCAGGGCTCTCTTCCCTAATTCCACAATTGCAAGTGGGAAGGCCTCAGAGGTCGCCCATGGCAATGGGGAAACCAAAGCCCAGAGACGGACAGCGATGGGCCACAGTTGCACAGCCTTTTGAGCTGAGTGGGGCTGAGAATGCAAGGCCCTTCCTCCAGCCCAGGGCTCCTCCACCACATTAAGTTCCCCTCATTGGCCCGGGCCACTTCCATTTTATGAGGCTCCCATTAGATTAAAAAATAAAAACACCTCAAAACAAAATTCTGAAAACTATGGCATATTTCACAAGTTAACTCTTAGGTGCCCGTACACAGTCCCAAGTACAGTGCATTATCATGAGAACATTAAACAGAGGATTTACAAAAACACCAGTTCATGGGACATGCGTGTAAAGTTGAACATCTTTGTTCAGCCCTGTCTGCATGTCCTACTCTCGTGTGTTTTATCTCCTGTGGACGTGATATCAAAGATCTAGACCTGGGCAGCGAGATGCAACATGTGGCCCTGGACTGGATCCTGCACTGCAGGGCAGAAGTGCCCTAGAGGACGTTATTAGGCAATTGACAAAATTGGAATAAGAACAATAGATTAGATAAAAGTATTGGATCAATGTTACATTTTCTGAATTTGCTAACAGTATAGTTACATAAGAGGATATCCTTATGCTTAAGAAATACACCCTGAAGTATTATTAAGGGGTAGAGGAACTTGATGTAGGTGAAATACTCTCATATAGTTCAGAAAAAAATAACGTGTGAGTGCGAGAAGGATAAAGCAAATGTCACAAACAGTTAAAACTTGGTGATTCCAGGTACAGGGTATATGGGAGTTCTCTGCACTAGTTTTGTCACTTCTCTGTGTGTTTGTAAACGATCGCAGAATGAAAAGTTAAAATGAAGTCGAGATCTTGGCCCGCTAGGATGTGAGGCCCGCCAAATGGTCTCCTGGTCCCCTCTGACCTTTCCTGGCTTCAGCTGCTCCAACAGGGACCCAGGCGCCCAGCCCGTGACTCTCCGGCCCCTGTGCCCTCCAGAAGGCTAAGGTGGTCCCAGCCCCCGAGCCTCCTGCCACTGTGATTTATGTCCCCGTGAGCCTCAGCAGCTGTGAGCACAGGTCCCACCAGGCGGCCTGCTGGGGGGGCCAGCGTTTGCTTCTCAGCGTGTCTAATCCAGACCAGACTTGCAGACCCCATGGGCCTGGGATCAGGCTCCCACGGGGGCCAGGGTCAGAGGGCAGGCCAACAGGGCTTGGAAACCCGGGAGGTGCTGAGGGTGAACTGGCTGGAAAGCCGGAGACCTGACCTGGTCTAGCTTAGCCCCTGCTCCTGTGTGACCTGGAGTAGGTGTCTGCCCCTCTCTGGGCCTTGGTTTTCCTCATCGAGGCATAGCCTACTCACGGTGGACCAGAAGGGCTTTATAAACTGGAACAGACTGGCCTGGTAGGAGGGACAGCTGGTAAAATTTAGGAGTTGTTTTTTTCTGAATGCCCAGATCCTCTAAGCTTGGAAAAATGCCTGACTTTTTTGAGGGCCTACTGTGTGTCAGCCCTTGGTCTACCACTTTACATAAATTAATTAATATAGCCTACTCAACGAGTTTGTACTATTATTGCCCAATTTTATAGATAAGAAAACTGAGGCACAGGGAGGTTAAACAACTTGCCCAAGATCACACAGCAGCTGGTAAGCAAGAGAATTTGAACCGGGTGTTCTGGTTGCAGAGCACCACTGGGCTCTCAACCACCGGCCCACACGCCCTCACCAG